AGGGATTGTCAGTGTTGATGAGTGATTCGTTGTGTTGAATGACTTACATGGTGGCCAAGTCCTAGGTCATGTTAGCTTCTTAGTTTAATGAAAATGGTGCTTTCCAAACCTACCAAGTGACGGTAACCGGCCTTGAGGGCGTGGTAGACGGCCTCACCGACCTGACCGGGGGCGGACTGCCAGGTGCCAAATCCCAGCTGGCTGGAAGAGGTGAGTAAATGTATCTTGGATGATAAATGATGAGTAGGCGAGGAACTTACGGGATCTCGTGGCCGGAGCTGAGAGTGACCTTCTTTCCGAGAGACATTGTAAATGAGGAGAATATGATCGATGGACGTGGAGAGAAGGAACAGGGAAAGGAGAATGGTTTCAGGGGAATTGAGGAAGAATAAGAGAGAAGGAGAGAAAAAAAAAGGAAGAAGAGGAGGAGCTTGCGAAAGAAATACGAGAGGAGTTCGAGTGGGGGAGAGGAGGAGGACGAGGGAAGAGGAGGGGAAGCGAGCCGTCACGACATCTACAAAAGAAAGTAGTATGTTTTACCCCGCCAGTCAATCAGTAAGTTACCCCTCGGTGGGGCCAAGCGCGTGGGATGGCCTCAGGTTCACCCGTTCAACCATTTCTGGATACAGGAATTGTCGAGGGAATTGTCGACAGGACTACTCTAGTCCGGTCCAGACAAAGCAGGTACCCTCATCTCCGATAGGCAGTCTCCGTGTGATGCAGTATCCTCAACGACTCGCATCTACAGCTGCATCTCATAGGACCAGGAGCCGTGCGTGCACTGCGATGCAGCATGCACTCGCACACATCTGCTGCACTTTGACATGATGTCACTTGGCTATTCCGACAGCTGAACAAGATTGAAATTACTCCAGTAGACAAAGATTCCTCCGGCTTCTTTTCCCTTCAGTTGGACCATCGATTGGTGGAGACGACAGCCACAACACCATACTCTATTGGGTTAAGCGCCGGAGAAATTGGGGTCCTCCAGTCTGGGACCGAGAACAGTCAAAATAGCCTCCACTTTCCTCCGTCCACATGAGAAGCGAAAACGTGGGGGAGGATAAGGAAGGGGGGAAGTTGGAAAGAGTACGTACTCCGTACACCTTCGGGTCAATCCTCCACCGGAAGTCCCTCGTCCCCGCTCGGAGAATTACCCGTTCGGGTCGACCAGTTTATACTCCCACTCCGCTCCAGCTAATGTCGATTCAACTCTCGGTTAATATCCCGAAACAACACCCGCGCGAACTATCATGGATTTGTTCAGATCAATCGTACAGAGATAGAGAAATGGTTACATTATAGTAAGATCACAAGTTCGTGAGGTTGGGACCGGATAGCACAGCTTCAAGGTGACCCCAGTGTCCACGATAATCTGGAATTGGGGTCATTGGAAGGAGGTACACCTTGAATATCGCACCACTCTCGATCCTGCAGAGACGGTCACAGACCCCCAATTAGATGCACAGATCCATGTGTGCCGGCCAATGAATTGCTCGCCGCAGAAGTTCTACATCTTAGGAGACCCTGGGTTCCGGCCTGGAGTCCATGCGGGTCGGTCCTGCTGCACCGAACATTCTAGTGCAGCCCTATGAACCAATGCTTCGATTCTTGAAAGATGCGGGACTCCCGCCATCTGGCACTGCCTGCGCCAGGAGCTTGTCGGATGTCATAGCGAGTAGTGAGGAAATGAGAAAAAGGCACACAGGGGTGGATGACTCTGCGCGTCGGGTATAACTTTCGACAATCAAGATGAGACACGCGCTTCACTTGAAGGAAAGTAAATGCGAGGCTCTACATCGTCTGTATCATTCTCAGCTATTCATGTGAATTGGCCTGAGCTTGGTGCTGAAGGTGCAATGCGGAGATAATGCAGATCGTGCACAAGGGTATCTGTGCTTTCAACGCACGGCCTACCGGGCTGCAGGAAAGGCATGCTCTTAGTAGTTGGACTATACGCCGTGACAGAAGAGAGAGGTCTACAAAAGAGGCTCCTGCCGCTAATCTTCTTTTGGCGAGAGATGAATTAGTGTGCTTTTTCAGACTTCTGGTTGCAGGCATATATCCTGTGGAACATGTATTGGTCCTGCAGTCCACATGTGTCGATAGAGAGACTTCATCTACTCAGTAGCAATTGATCGACTGATCGGTCTCTCGACCCCCCCCCCCCCCCCCCCCCCCCAAAAAAAATCCCCGGGCACAAAAAAAAGGGGCGTGCCCCCCCCCCCCCCCCCCCCCCCGGGCCATAAAATGAGCTTCTGGAGACCAAAGGATGCGGCTTTGTCCCCGTACCTGCACACCTATCTATCCCTGGACTCAAATCCTCGCCAACTACTACGTTCCTAGTTGCAGTATATTCTTAGATCATTAGGCCATTTTTCTTGGCCAGGTTCTTCGCATTGTAAATTTCCTACTCCTGCGTCGGCAAGGCCACGCTGTTGAGCGCGGCCTATGCTTCATCTGCATGAACCCTGTCAGGTACCGTCAAGTGAAGCAGGGAGACGGAAGCCAGAAGATACATTCCTCCCGCCAAAAGGAATGGCAGCCCGAACCATGCGGGCCCTAGCCGCAGGCCCAAACGAAACGCGTACGCCAGAAGTGGACTGGCAATCACCATCCCAGATGACGCGATAGCTGCAGCTGACGAATAGAGGGCTCCCACGCGGTCCGGCGGGACCAGTGAGGTCACAAAGCTGCGGCATGACACTGCGAAGGCAGCGCCCAGAGAGAACAGCACAATGCCCAGAATTACTATGGCCCGCGATGCGGCCGTGGCGATGACGAAGAAGCCAAGAGCGGAGACGAAACTACTTCCTTGAGCCAAGAGTAGGTCTTTCAGCTTTGCTGAAAGTTTGAAGTACCGGATCAGTAGGAAAGACAAGCCTGGCATAATGAGTAGATAGTTTGCTAGTATGATGATACCGCGCAAGGAAATGAGGAGGCTAGCCTGCAAGAACTGTGAGATCATCGAAGCTTGTTGGAGAGAAAGGTGACGGCCATGATGTCACTTACATCGGCAATACTCCAACTGAAACGTTTCGACGTATATAGCAGCAAAAGGCTCGTCGATTGCTTGCTGATGGACGTGACAAACAGGGCAAAGAGACAGATGGCGATGGCTGGGCTGCCTATTATTAACCTGGCAGAATCCTGGAGGTCCTGGAATCTGCCCTTGATATACTGCTTCACTGAGGTCTTTCCATTCAGAGACGACTGTGTCTCGTCTTCACTGGTCACAGTCGTCAGATCAATTTTAGATTTGGCATCGTTCAGTGTTTCCGGCATGAGAAACGCAGCCAATGACCCGAGAGTAGATACCCCAAGTCCGAGCATGAATGGCAGCCATGGATCACTAGCCATTAGATATGCACTGACTGGGGTGGCTAGGACTTCAGACACAATCACAGTGCTGGTCAAGCGGAACAAGGCTGTAGCTCTGAGGGCGAATTAGAGAATGCGCCAGCATAGAAGGGCTATCACATACATCTCTTCCTCGGAGAACAGGTCCGCTACCATGACCAGAGCAATGGATGAAAGGGTGATGTCCCCGCCGCCAATGAGCCTCCACATTCCAGACAGCCAGACCAGCCGCAGTGGTAGGACAGTGGAATACAGGCCTTATTATCATTGTCTTAGCCGTAATACAGTTCATGTAGGCAGAAACCGGATCCCCACTTACACACGATGCGGACCCAGAGCTCCCCGAGGAGGGTCCCCAAGAGACCAAGAAGGAGAACTGGTTTGCGCCCCCAGCGGTCCGCCAACATACCATACGGAACAGACAGAAGAATGCCTAAGATGTAGTGCCATCAGCCTATTGTAGTATCGGCATAACGGGATTCAGCTGGTCATCATACCTGGTAAAACATCGGATGTCTCTTTCCATCCATTCACGAGAGCCAACTCACTCTGCACCGGCTCAGACTTACAAATTCCTTCTGTCGGAACTGTGTCTGCTGGGTTCCCTAGAGTAGTCAGATAGTTCTGGCAGACAATGTCCTCGAATATCTTAGTTTGAGGGGCGGCAGTCAGATAGAATCCAAAGTCCACGGCTAGAATGAGTATGGACGCTGCAATCATCACGGTCAATTTTCGGGACCTCGATGCGGACGTCGGTCGAACTCTGTTCGCCTCCAATAGAGGCGCACGCTCATCATGAGTCACTATCGTATCGGACGCGTCTGCCATTGGAATTTAGCCAAGTGATAGCGTCGGGCTCAATTCTGTCAAGAACTGAATACCAATCGACTGAGATGAAGCAGGAAACGTTGGGGAAAGATTAAAAGGAGCTGAAGGATGAGGTATGTTGGGGGGAGGGGGCGCTACCTCCTAGTAATTAGTGCCTACCCCTGCACATATAGATTAACCCAGAGGACTAGAGTGAGATAGCATAGGAAAAAGCATAGCTGACTGATAAGCGTCTGAGCGGGGTGCGCTCAACCATACCGCCAATAAGACCAAGCATTGAAGAAGGTTTTAATTTGCTTGAGCATATTCCATATTGGAGGATTTATATAAATTGTTTAGATCTTACTCCAACCAAGTGGGAGGGGTCCGGAGTGGTGGCGATATGGCTCATCTGAAGCAGCAGGGCATGCTGTATACGAGTGCTCTGTCAGTAGAGTCAGATGTTTGAACCTAGTAGATGGCACATGAATGACAATCGAGAGTATGGGAGTTGAGACGAAGTACCGCATGCGTGCTGTCCTGAGGTTTCTCCTCGATAAATAGCTTTGGCCACCCACATCAATCTGGGGACGATAAGCCACACGTCTGAGCCAATTCACCAGTCCTGTAACTAAATAATTACCTTGATATACACCCACATCTAATTTAGAGAAGTTCATGATGATTATTCGTATACTGCAGTTAATACTTCGAATAACAGAAGAAAAGAGGACCTTAAGATATTAACTGAAGTATGCTGTGCTTATATAAGCATCGCAAACTGAATCCTCGGCTCTGGCACTTTTTCGAACCTGAACTCGCCAACTCCGCGGTAGAGCTACAATTCTGAAAATGTCCTCCTTTCGCGCATCAGCTTTTCAGTCGCTATCTCGGAGCAGAACCTCTTTCCTCCGCTACCAGCAAAGGAGGTGGGCTCAAGTACACGATGTCCGCTTTCTCGCGACACACCATGACCCCAAGCAGGTGCTGGACAGGTACAAAGCCAAGCTTGACCAGAAAGCCCAACAGTGAGTCAATGGCAATCCTCACAACCTCGCGATCACGATACTCATATTGATATGATTAGGGAGGGTCATGAGAACATCGAGTCGCTGAAGGATGCCTACAAGGAAAAGATCCAAGACTTTCGCCGTAAAGCATCCACCTCAATCACCCCCGAACCATCGACCCCGTCTCCCTCCGCCACCGGGCCTCCTCCCCCTCCAACACCACCTCCCTCCCCTCAAGCTCAGGCTGCGATAAAGGCTACGGCCTCCGCGAAATCGGGTGGAATTAAAGGTCTTGATTCTTTCCTCGACGTCAAGAAGATTCGCAGCCTGCCACCCAAGGAAATCGAAACCCTCTGGCGTCTCCGGCACGCCAACAACTCCCACTCCATCTGTGCTTGTATCCCTGTGGAGACATACCAGCGCATTGTGTCTGCCGCGCGCCAAAACCCTCAATTCATCCTACCTCTGCCCCGTGATGCGACACAGGCCGAGGCCGCGGAGGGCGAGAACAGCGAGAATGCCAAGGGTGGTGCAGACATCCATTTCCTCCAGTGGGCCTTCCACCCCCCGGCATCAGCCCCGTCTCCATCTGCCACCCACGCTTCACTCGCCAACTCCCATACTTCCACAATCATCTTCACGCATCTTGCCGCCTACAAGTTGCATGGCTCCTTTGCCCAGCCGCATACCACCATTACCCACCATCTTGATCTCGCGGACGACAAGGGACTGGTCCTTATGCATGGTCAGGTGATGCCGGACTCTGGTGTGTCTATCACGGATGCCAGCTGGCTGGTCAGCTGCGTGCAGCGATTCTATGACTTTGGTGGACAAGCTAGTGGGCGGAAGGGAGAATTGCTACGCATGTTCACTCGGGGTGACGTGCAGAATTTCAAGATTGAAGAATTATTGGCTGAGGCCGAGAAGGTTTAGATGAGCCCTGGTCCGAAAAACTTGTGTATGTACTATATCTAGGAGTCGAGTCAAGTCATGAGCGTATTTCCACCTCGTATTGAAGCGAGAATTGCCAAGCACTGGAACCGTCCTCGTCCTCGTCCTCGTCCTCGTCCTCGAAGTCGGGGAATCCGCCGGGATCGGCGCTAGCGCCTTCCGAGTCCGGTCCGACGTAACGGTGTCATATCACGTGACTGTACTGTACATCATGCAGCCCCGCGCGCCTCCCCCGGAGAGCCAACACGCGTCCAGGTTTCACCCACTGAGGACCCTGATTGGCACCAAAGCATATCTACAGGTGTACTAGCAGTACATGTTACAATTTATCTTTAACTTCTCAACTCTTTGTCCCAAGTGTTGGGTCCCAACCGTTTTTGTGTCGGTCGGAGAGGGGTCCAGATCGACGGAGTAACTTACCTAATCAACGCTAGCTTCAACAGCCGAATTCCTCCGGAGATCGTTCGATTCGCATCATTCTGCGCTCAATTCTTGATTTATTTCGTAAAAACTTTCCTTCTGCCGCTGCATCTCCAGCTGCATTCCCAACCAACGACTGCTTCAGTAGCTGCAGGCGGCATAGTGTCGACGCCCAGTGGGAAAAGCTGTCTGACTATCGCCTCATCCGCCCAGTCTGCTTGCTATCAACGCGCCCACGCGCTGGCTGTCCCCAAAAAGAAAACCCGCCGCAACGTCACCCTCCGTCACACTGACCGGCCGATAAAGCGTCTCAACCCCGCGGTCATGAGTTTGAGGGATACAGAAACGAGGTACACCCCGCGGCAATATTGATGATATTTGCTTTTTCTCTACTCTTCTCTCTATTCGGTCTCAACAAGTTCGAGTAACCCAAGACGCAGCCATGGCTCGGAGATACATGATCCCGTGGCTATATGACCTTGGGGTGTGGATTTTCACCCTCTGTCTGGACATTTTCTTCCGCGAGGTCTACTCTCGCGGTGCATGGCGGATCCCCAAGCGGGGCCCCGTCATCATTGTTGCCGCCCCCCATGCTAATCAATTCGTGGACTCGATCCTACTGATGCGCATCATGAAGCACTATGCTGACCGTCGCATCTCGTTCCTGATCGCCGACAAGTCTATGCGCGAACCTTATATCGGAACTATGGCTGGATGTATGGGCGCGCTGCCCGTTGTGCGGTCGATGGATCATGTCAAGCCCGCAAAGGGTGAAATCTACCTCCCGGACCCAGAGAACGACCCCACCTTGCTCAAGGGACGCGGTTGCGACTTTACGAGTGATCAGTTCATGGTGGGCGGGACCATTATTCTCCCCCGCGTAGGCAAGTCGAGTCCCGAGCAACAGGCAATCGAGGAGATTATAGATGCGAACACGATTCGACTGCGCAAGCCGTTCAAGACGTTCGAGAAGGACCACCCTCTCTATGACGCTTTGCGTAAGGGAACCAACTTCAAGATCGCTCCCCACATCAATCAGAGCAAAATGTTCGATGCGGTGTACCGCGAACTGATTGCTGGTGGCTGCATTGGTATCTTCCCCGAAGGTGGTAGTCACGATCGCCCCAGCCTTCTCCCGTTGAAGGCTGGTGTGGCTATCATCGCTTTGGGCACACTGGCGCTGGATCCCAACTGCGGGCTGTCCATCATCCCGTGTGGTATGAACTACTTCCATCCGAACAAATTCCGCTCTCGTGCCGTGGTGGAATTCGGAAACCCTGTTCAGGTGCACCCGGATCAGATCGAAGCGTTCAAGGCTGGTGGAAACTCCAAGCGGAACGCGGTGGGCTCTCTCTTGGAAACGATCACAGAGGCATTGACCACTGTGACACAACAAGCTCCTGACCATGAGACATTGATGGTCATTCAGGCCACTCGTCGACTGTACAAGCCGCTCAGAATGAAGCTGCCCCTTCCGGTCGTAATCGAGCTCAACAGACGTCTCCTCAAAGGCTACACCCAGTTCAAAGACGAACCTAAGGTACTTCAACTTAAGAAAGCCATCTCTGATTACAACCGGCGACTTCGTGCTGTGGGAATTCGCGATCACCAAGTTGAATGGGGCGACGTCAAGCACCGCCCCTGGTGGCTGGTTCTGGGCACCTTGCTCTACCGTGTCGGCGAACTTCTGACCCTGGCCGTTGGCACTCTACCCTCCGTCGCTCTATTCTGGCCTGTCTTCGTCACCGCCAAGGTTGTCTCCGTGAAAAAGCAACGTGCTGCGCTTGCCAACTCTGTCGTGAAACTCGAGGGCCGTGACGTCGTCGGCAGCTGGAAGATCTTGGTCGCCATGGGTCTCGCTCCAGCGCTTTACACTTGGTACACCGTTATTGTGACCATCTGGTTACACTACTGCCGCCACGATGGATTCTACGCTTCTGTCGTCCCGTGGTGGATGAACGCCCGGACTTACATTTCCGACTCAATCCCGCTGGCGCTCTTTTCCATCTTCTTCTTCGGCCTCATGATCTCTGTCTCCTTCGCCGGACTCCGCATTGGCGAAATCGGCATTGACGTCCTCAAGTCTCTGCCCCCTCTCCTCGTCGCCCTCAACCCTCGCTCCGCCAGCTCGCTCGCCAAACTTCGCGCCGAGCGCCAAGCTCTCTCTGCTAAAGTTGTCGACGTAATCGACAACTTCGCCCCTGAAATCTTCCCGGACTTCGAGTCCGAGAAACTGATCGACCACGAACATCCCGGAGACGATACGTACCAGTCCCGCCTCAAGAGTATGCCCCCCAGTGAACCCGAGAGCCGCAATCGCAGCGCCAGCCGCAACGGACGCAGCCGGTCCCGCAGCGCTGGGTTCAATCTGTACGAGACCTTCCTCAAACCTCTCAGCATCAAGTCCAAGGATGACCTCGGCGAGGTCAACCGCCGCATTCGGGACTCGATGCAGGAACGCGGGCGCCAGCGAGTTCGCGAGGAGTACGACCAAGACGGGGAGGAAGAAGTGGTTTCCTTGGACGGGTCCGCTAGCGTCGGTAGTGGCGATGTAGTTGTTGTCGAAGAGATGAAGAAAACGAAATGATTTAATGGCGTGTGTTTTGGGTGGCGACCATGATTTTGAGGCGATAGGCTATCTAGGCTGTTCTGTCACACCCTGAAGTCGCTGTGACTGTGCGAGTGTAATTTGGCAGCGATTTCTTTCGGTTAGTCTGCCTGGACTGAGAAGTCATGTTAGTGATTGTTGTTGTGGATGTCGATACCCTCTCTCCATCGTGCTTTTTATATTTACCATTACTATGACTTTGTTGTTCTATTAGGATTCCTCCGTGATTTATGCATGTCTCATGTCTCCATCCTGTTGCGTTCTGCGGGCCGATTGATGCATTATGTTTCTGTGTTTGATATAGGTAGCAAAAAAAAAGCGAATGAACAGTATCATGGAATTTTATTCTAATATTCTTCAAGCAACAAACTGCAATGGAGACTCGATGAACCCACTGTCTACCATCGATACCTGGACATGGGTTGCTTTTTCTCCCGCATTGATTGGTTCTGCGCTCTACTCCGCCCCAACATCTCCATAACCTTCCTTAATGTACAAAGAGTACATGAATATCTTCGTATCCGTCAGTATAGACCTGAAATGTAGTCCTAGTTAGACACGACGCTTCCCCTACATCCACTTTCCTCGATGAATCCAGGGGTGTTATGTTTATCATCAAGAGGAGTACAGATAACTAACAAATCGGCATTGCTTTTCTTCCAGCCCGACCTTCGGCTGAGTAGAACTCGCAGCAGGATTGCGACTTGATATTTGTTTTCAGTCATGAAGAACCGCTTCCGCATTTCTCAGCAGGGGCTTCATTCAGCAGGCGCTGAGACAAACTCGTCGATATAGGCTTTCTCACTGGGGGTTGGGAGAAATACCAATCATCACCGTCTCCATCCGTGTTGGCATCGAGGTTGTCTTTGTCGCCCGAAGCATCCCCATCGCCGTCGGTAGGTAGCATTGTTGGCGACGTTTGCGCCCGAATTGGCGGCATCGGTTTGGTCGATAGCATCGGGTTGCCCATTGGTGGTTGTTGCGTCGGCGACACCACTGGGATTATCGGTGTTCTCAATGGTTGCAGTACTATGACCACTCAGATTCCTCGACCACAATGTGTGATGAAACTTTTATGTCTCTTGGATGGCTTGCGTCTCGCTGCCGTAAGCGCTCTTCAAGGGTCGGAATGTCTTTGTTGCGCTCTTTGAGACTCTGGAAAGTTTTGGGCGGGTGCTGAACTCGTCATGGCTTGGGGGAATGACTGTGGCGTTGCGTGAGAGGTTCTCGTTGTCTCATTGTCTCTAAGGATGGGCGTGAGGGTGCTTTTATCTCCCTTGCCCTCTGAGGTTGACCCTCTGAGGTGCGGTGGGAGATGTGATATTGGAGTCTGATTGACTATATGAGATTGGAGAGAGAATGGTGTAGGAGAATGAGGAAGAGACAGGGAGATGGAGAATGAGAAGAAGTCAGTAACGTGGCGGAGAACCAATGTCAGGGTAGGTAGGGGGATAGGGTGAATCATGGGAATCATGAATCACACAGGGAACCCAGGAAAGCGTGTCATTCTGTATAGTGGAATCTCACTTGAGGGGGCTGTAGTAGTCAACAGACACATATCAATATGCCGTAGTCGAGATATTTACCACCTCGGTAATGTACAACATATAAACAGGCCATCTAAAACCTATTCAGAGGATAACAAATGATTCAAAGTCAGATTCATGCGTCTAGTAACCTAGGGACGTCAACCTGATACCGTCGAGTCGAGGCTATACTAAACTCTATGCAGCTAGGGAAGTAGTGTTGTACTGCACCTACAGGGTGTACGAACAACAAATCTCAATCAATGAGGCAAACAAAAAGATTCAGGAACATTGCAGAGAAGTAGACGACTGTAGTGTTAGTAACTAGTGATGGTGATGGCCGGCCCTGTAACCTGCCAAGGCGGGATGGCGCCATAGAGCGGTGACGAGGGGATGATGGATGCCTGACAGGCTTAGTTACCACCAAGGGGTGGGGGAGTGGCTCTGCTCTTCCTCTTGTTCCACATGAAACTCCAACCTGGAACCTTCTTCGACTTCCCCAAACCTTCCCAATCTGAATCAAAAACAAAACTTGATTTCTATCGCAGAAAAAGTTTTTACAAGGGGAGAGGCACACTGGTATAGCTTATGCGCTTTCTGTTCATCATAAAGATATGTGCGTGTATTCATGGTCTAAATGACTAAGTACTCTTGAGATGCTTATGAGAAAGAATGCTGATGATATGCTTTGCTCGCTGGGCTAGGTTTATGTCGTGATTAAGTGGTATCGTCAATAGCGGGTATCGTGCTAAAGGGGTTGGAGTTGCACAGCAACTCGAAAGGGCTGGTTTGAGGTATGGTCAGGACAAACTCGAACATGTGACTCTGTTTCAAGTTTCCAAGGACAAGAGATCAAACACGCTTGTCGAGCAAGAGACCTCCAGTAGGGGTTTTGCTGGCAAACCCAGCTTCACGGTTGAAAACCTTCTCGCCACGCAGCCAGGTCTCGCGGACCATGCCGCGTAGCGTGCGGCCTTGGTAAGGGGAGCACTTGTTACGGAAGAGCATGGTGCTGGGCTCGACGACCCATTCGGTGGTATCGTCAAAGACACAGATGTCCGCGTCGTGACCGGGAACAAGATCGCCCTTCTGGTTCTGCAGCCCCACCTGACGGGCCGTGTTGGTGCAGCAGAGGCGCACGATGTCCTGGAGAGCTTGCTGGGTCATGGTTTCGTCGGTGCTGGTGGCGAGGCCTTTGCGGCGACTGATTTCGGTCCACAGGATAGGAAGACCCAGGCCAACAGATGAGATGCCACCCCAGGCCGAGAAGAAACTACCTTCGTTGGTGGCGGGACTTTCCGAAGTGCAGCCCCCAGGCACATCAGCTGGGAGAAGCTTCAAGTCGGGTGTGCAAGGCGAGTGATCCGACACGATGGTCTTGATGACACCGTCATCGGCGTGACGGTCTACCTCTTCCCAGAGGCGATCCTGGTTGGACTGCGAACGGATAGGGGGGCAGCATTTGTGACGGGTATCACCGTCTCGGATCTCCTCGGCAGCCAGGGATAGGTAGTGGAAGCATGTCTCAGCGGTAATGGGCACACCCTCCGCGCGAGCCTTGCGCAGCAACGGAATTGCTTCCATTGCCGAGAGGTGGACAATATGCAGAGGGAGCTTAGGAGCTAGATGGGACAAGGAAAGGATCTCTTCAACAGCGCGAGTCTCATAAGACGACGGACGAGATGCGAGGAATGTGGAGTACGCCTCAACGGGGCCTTCCGGTGCCGGCTCCGTCTCTCCAGCCATTTCTGCATGGAACATCAGGGTTGTGGGCTCATCAGCTAATTCAGCCATAGCCTTTCGGATGTCATCCGAGGAGACGGCGGGGAACTCGTCAACCTACTTAAGGTTAGTATGCAGATACACTATCAGAGACTAAAGATGCAGGAAAATAGCCACATACCCCGCTATCGATAAGGAATCCTTTGAAGCCACGAACACCTTCATTCACCAGAGCCTTCAATTCGCCGGCGTTGCCGGGGATGATGCCGCCATAGAAGCCAACATCCACCCAGCACTTTCCATGGGCTGCACGGAGCTTCTCTTTGAAATTGGCTACTGTGGTGGTCGGCGGGATGGCGTTCAAGGGCATGTCAATGACCGTGGTGACACCACCAAAGGCAGCGGCCTGCGTGCCTGTATAGAAGCCTTCCCATTCGGTACGGCCGGGCTCGTTGAGGTGGACATGAGCGTCAACCAAGCCAGGCATTAGGACATGAGGGGAATAGTCCGTGTATGGGGTATCGGCAGGAAAGTCGGTTGCAGGGATCACGGAATCGAAAACCGCCGTGATCTTTCCACTGGTGCGGGAAATTACGATAGTGGCTGCCGTCAAACGCCCCGAAATGACGGCGCGCGAGGAGACAATCACTGTGATTGACGGTATTTGAACGGGCTCCATTTGTGGCTATGAACTGGGAGGACTCGAGTATGGAGAGAGGGCAAGGGATGAGAGGAGTCAAAGAGACAGAGCAGACAAAAGGTCGAGACAGACAGTCAGACTACCTCTGAACAATGGACGAAGATAAGGAGGAGAAGAAGGGCTGATAGGCCGATAAGGCGGAAATGGCGGTAGGCAAGGGATTCCTTCCTCTGATAAGGCAGGCAGTGGGCGAGAAAACGATCGAGTCAGGCCCTCCGATAAGGGGTTGTTTAAGTATCCGACGTGATAAGCAGGCATTGTTCCTCTCCGCCTCGCCCGATTATCTAGTAGGCCAATCGCCATAATATCGATCGAGTAACAGAAATCGGGGCCCACAGCAGTGACAGATCCACCGGGTCTTCCTCTCATTGCCTCTCGTTCAACGGTTAAGCTATGCACTTCGCCTGAAAGGTGCAAGCTGATCATGAGCCTCCTTATCAGCTGCTCTCGTGACTTAAAGAGGTGCTTGTGTCGCATCGTGGAAGGGTTTCTTTCTTTCTCTCCGTTCGTCTTTGCGACCTCTCTTTCATTGTTGCTCCCGTCAAGGCGGCAGACACTCGCGAAGGGGGGGGGAGGGGAGGGAGGCTGTGAAATGTCCGGGTCAGTGTGTTCTTCACCCATGGGTCGGATGTATCGGGCGCCTCCGGCATCCGCCATCGGGGGTCCCCTGGGGCGAGACAAAATTTCGACTTTTTTCTGCCAAAGGAGATGCTCTTACTCGATCAAAACTCGGAGGGGTACCTGAATTTGACATTTCTGTTACTCGATCAAAATTCTCCCGCGGCCGCGGGATGGTTGAGCATGGACCCTCTCCTCTTCTTCCCCTGTTGTTCCGGAGGTTTTGTGCGTGGCCTGGGCTAAGTGGATAAACATTGCCGGTCTCTCCAGAGAACCAAGAGGATCTAGACTGAGCGTGGATTTGAATTCACTTCTCCCATGATTAATTGCCGTACGGTACTCCGTAAAGTGCGGGAAACCACGCAGAATTGACCGCCTTGAGACGAGATTCTGCCGGTCTGTTGTTGATTAGGTTTGTGGATCGCCGCCACCACCACATCATTATTCCTGTCTTATGCTCACATCTTGTCCCTGCTTGTTTTCCCAGGGGGAGGCGAGGATGGTGATGGTATCTCATTATACTTCAATGAGGTCAGGTTGACTCGATGTTTGTGTTTGCCCACAGGCCACTGCACCACGCCGATGACGGAAGATCAACAGGCGGTGTAGTGTGAATCAGGCCTCAGTGCCGATATCGAAGCGTCCCATGGATTAGGGCGAGACTCTGGTTCCTAAAATGGGTAACTAGTGCATGGCAGTAGTAAGTATGAAGCGAATGTCATGTGCAGATATTGAACCCCCCCTGTTTTCTTCTGCAGAAAGCCAGAATGAGATCAATTGCATCGGCTATCCCGGCTATTGAGCGTTTGGTAGGAAGTATGAGTGACAACTCAGAAATGGAAAAGCGGAGGGTGAGGGGAAGAGGGGAAGAAGAAGTTGTGGACTCAGGCTGGACTCAGGCTGGACTCGACTGGCGGCAACGATCGATGCTTTCTAAAAGAGGAAATGGATTGCCTTTTGTTGGGTCACGTGTCGTCGTAGTGTTGGCGCAGTGGTTGCGATCATGAGGCCTACTCGAATACGAGATCATCCTAGTCCCGAGCATTGCTCTTCGCTGGTTCTGCGACACGACCACCGCTGCATGATGTTACAGGAATGCGGGCCTGGATTGTTTGATTGTTTGATTGTCTGTCTAGATGTATAATTATCACCTAATGCGCAATTCATCAATCAAACGCACGTTACAGTCCGTTGATCCCGTCCTTGAATTGCCGAATGTCATACTCCTCAGGATAAGTCTTCAGAATACGCTTCAGGTCTTTCATCTGCTCTTGCGCCTCCTCGGTGACCTCCTCATACACCCCCTCAAAGGCAGACCGAAGTGGTGGTTTCAACTCACGCTCGGCCTCGCCGAACTCTTTCAGCACTGCTTTGCGAAGCTGATCGCGCGTGTCTCGCTCAATATCCTCGTTCCAGATCCCTTCGTTCTCCAACCACTTCCGCAGACGGATAATCGGGTTGTCACGACGCTTCCAGTCCTCCACCTCAACTCGGGCTCGATAGGCAAAGCTATCGTCACTGGTGCTATGGTGTGAGACACGATAGCTCATCGCCTCAATGAGGACTGGCTTGCCGCCGTCAGTCAGAGCGATTCGCCGTGCCTCACGCATCGCTTCGTAGACCGCAAATATGTCATTGCCATCAACGCGGATGGTGTCGATTCCGTAACCAATTCCACGACTCGCGATGCCATCACCGCGATACTGCTCCAGAGTCGGAGTTGAAATGGCATATCCATTATTGCGACAAATGAAGACTACGGGGCAGGATCGTGTCGCGGCTATGTTGAGACCTGCATGGAAATCGCCTTCGCTAGCAGCACCTTCGCCAAAGTAGCAGGCTACGATCCGAGGCGGTATATCAGGGTTCTGGAGGGTTTGCAGCTTCAAAGCATAGGCAGCGCCAGAGGCTTGCGGTATTTGAGTTGCGAGAGTTGAGGAAATTGTGTGCTGTTTCGGTCAGCAATCATACATCAAAGCTCCCCACTCCGTACGGGTCACTTACAGTTCTGGGATAATTTTTGCCATAGTGAACGGGCATATTACGGCCTCGGCTATTGTCGTGCTGATTGGCAAAGAGTTGGCTCATAAACTCTTTCAGGGTGAATCCTCGCTGTTGGAAGACTCCAGTCTCACGATACTGAGCGAAAACCACGTCGTCGGGAGTCAATGCAGCTGCGGAGCCAACGCTGATACCCTCTTCTCCGGCAGAAACCTTTACGAGCAGTTAGATTCTCTCCGTAGCAGATGCTCATAAGCTAGGTGGGAGAGGGCTTCTCACCATGTAAAAACTCAATCGGCCTTGTCTCTGAGCCTCGAACATTATGACATCCATGACGCTCACTAGCCTTGATCAGATGCCAAGTGGTCACCGTAGGGAATAGGTTCCCACCTACCCGTCAACATATTCTTGTACCACTCCAGTATCTTTTCCTTCGGTATATCGAGGGGCTTGCGCGTCTTATCAACCAAGTCTCCGTCAGAGTCCATTATTCGGTAAGTAGGGATGTTGGACACTTCGGTGGGGTTGATGAACTCCATATCGGTGGTGAATTTGCTGTTGACAGCGCCTGGAAATCGAACTCTAAGAGATAACTTTTAGTGATCAAGCTCATGACTTGGCTTAAATGAAAGTCTTGCGGGGCGCCATACCGGTCAGATCCCGGACGCTGTGATATAGAGCTACCCCATCGCTGAGAAATCACTGGTAAACGTGCGTATGAGCGACTTAAAGAACGCGAGATGCTGAGAACCATGGTGTATCTCTATGCGGTGCTGAAATCATACAATGATGCTGTAATAGAAAAAGAGAACCCCTGGCATGCTCGGGCAGCTGCTATCTATCCAGTCTCCCTGGAATTCCTGGGGAATGCGGAGAAGGCGGTTGGCCTCGGCCTCGACGTCACATGAACACCGGGGATAGCCGCCGCAATTGGGTAATTGAGTTTGCTTTGTTTGCGCAGATGACCTAATACACATAGGTGATCTACCTGCAAGCACATGACCAAAAGTAAGATCTTCGTTTGAATATCATGCACATCGTTTATCGATCCTTTCTGGTATTCCTGACATTGTGTGGGTGATCCAAAATTTTGACAACGGCTTCTGAGCTCGCTATGGGTCGGCCGAGACTAACGAGCTCGGTGAGCCTGTGAGGAGGGAGAGCTTGTTCCTTCGGCATGCCGATCCTCGGGCCGTGTTTCCGTGTGAGCCGTTGGTGTGAAAGCATGGACTTTTTCGACCCGGTGGACTGTATCTCACCCATCTGTATCAGTTTTCAAGACACACAGTACGCACCCCTCTCCCTCGACAGACAGAAACTTCCAAGGGTTCGCGGCTGAGTCGCGGTCACACAGACTATACCCGAGTACAGCTCACTCAGGTCTGACAGCCCCGCTCAAGAGCTGTGTGAACTGTGAATGGCAGCTTCAAGTCTTTCCATCAGCTCTGTAGTCATCTGAGACACTGACTGGAGCCCCATAGCACGTTCCATATCAGGCTAATGAGTGGCATAATGACTAAATCCCGGCCAATCATGCTACTTCGCCAGCAACATTAACAAGACGAGACACTCCCTTTCTTCTTTCTGCTTGAACCTCTTCGTATCTGTGCTCGACAGAATGACTCGTTAGCTAGAGAAACAGATTACATCGGGTGCAGTCGGAGTCATACCTGCATCAAAGGCCCAGATCTCTTCGCTTAGAACAAGGCCATAACGCTAATGGTAGAGCTATGGCGTTTTGAAAGGTGTTCGCGTATACACCGGGTTAGCACGGAGCGACTAATGATGAGTCGGCTGTACTGGACGGAAATACTATTAGGAGTTGTGCACCAGAAGTTGGCACCAGAACCAAGATCCGCTGACACGGACAATGAAGTAGTTATTCGACCTATATACAATATTAGAGTAGATCGACTGGTGGAGCTATAGCTCCGCTGTTGCTCGTGGAAGATACCGGATTGCGTATGGTCGACGAGCAGAGGTCGTGTAGATTTCCTTCTTGCGCTTGAACCGAGGTACTGAGTATAAGGTTGATTGCCATTACGCGCGGAGATTACCTTTTTCACAACCCATCGTCGACAAAGATGCTGGATTTGAAGCTGTAAAAGAACAAATGGGACGGACATCGTTCCGATGTCTCTCTTGCTTGACTAGAGTATATATTTTTCACCGTAATAAATGCTAACGCTCGGTCGGCGGGAGCTGGCGAACTGCCTAAAAGGGTAATCATCGCCTTTTCCTCCCCTCCCATCCCATCCCTTGTCTCTTCCACTTTGTCCGACTGTCCTCTTACTACTTTCTATTTCTATCATCCACATTCTCCTGCTCAGCTCTTCACTCTGTTTTCAACTTCCATCATACCCTTGGCAAATATACTCATTCATAATACTTTACTTCTTCTGTCCCCCTCCTCCTATACCTAGACGCTACCGCCTCCCTGTTTCAACCCTCCGGCTACTGCCGAGTGCCGCGCAGCCATTTAGCGATTGATCGACCGAACGGACCAACCAAATCCCATGCACCATGGATCCGCTTACTTCCCTCCGGCAGCTGGTCCAAACCCATCCTCTCATCGATAACCACGCCCATAATCTCCTCAACAAGTCTAATGCGAGCAACTATGCAAAGTACGCTTTCGAGCAGATCACCTCAGAAGCACAAGGCGTTGCTTTAGACAATGCGCCTTTTACGTTGCCGCTCCAACGGGCTGCTCATCAACTTGCAAGCCTGTATGACTGTCCCTCTAATGATTGGGACAGCGTCAAGGCGGCTCGAGACAAATGGGTAGAGCGCGATTATGATGACCTGATCCGTCGCTGCCTCGAAGGAACGCATAGCCTTCTCCTGGATGATCTTCTGACTGACGAGGATATTGAGCCGTTTGACTGGCATGATCGCTTCACTGCAGCTCCGACTAGGCGAATTGTACGGATTGAGGTGGTGGCCGCCCAGGTCCTCGCCTCCATTCTACCAGAAGGATACTCGGAGTCCTTGGATGACGTGACCACTTTGAGAGAGACCTTTGATCAATTCCGTGGAAGCTTTCATCAAAATATCGAGAAGGCTATTGCAGACCCCGTCGTAGTGGGGTTCAAATCTGTCGTTTGCTATCGAACTGGCTTGAACGTTCAATCCGCTGACGACGAGGGTGATGACAGTCGTTTACTGCAGTCCTTGGCTCGAACAATCCAGCAAGGGAGTGGTTCCTCATACCGTATCGAAGACAAGCCCTTGAACGACTGGGTGGTTCGGCAGACTCTGGACTTGGTCCAAGCCGCCTGTACCAGAACCCCTTCAGGCCCTAGTAAACCACTGCAGCTTCACACTGGACTGGGTGATAACGATATCAACTTGATCCTCTCAAACCCCGCCTACTTACAAGATTTAATTGCTCGATATCCCAAGGTGGACTTTGTTTTGTTACACTCTTCTTACCCCTACACTCGCGAGGCAGGTTACCTTGCATGCGTGTTCCCTAATGTCTATCTGGATCTAGGAGAAGTGTTTCCGATGGTGAGTCGGGATGCTCAGGAGTCTATAATCAGAGAGAGCTTGGAAATAGTGCCGACCAACCGGCTCCTGTGGAGCACTGACGGCCACTTTTATCCGGAGACGTACTGGCTTGCTAACAAGCAATTCCGCGATGCACTGGAGAAGGTTCGTACGAACTGCATATAACTTGTTGACGTCGAAAGCTTATTTAGTTTAGGTTCTTGTGGACTATGTCCGTCAAGGTGATTTCGCCATTGACCAGGCTAAAGCAGCAGCCGCAGATATCCTTTTCCAAAATTCGAATCGCCTGTACAGTTTGAACGAGACTGCGGCTTACGACGAGATGCATAAGCCTTTGTCTCGGCCCTTACAGGGATCATCAAGTGATGAATGGGAATGTTTTGTACGAAACAATCCGGGTGTTAAGTACATATGGCTGCAGTTCTTCGATTACACCGCGACGTTACGCCTACGCATTTTTCCGGTGCAAGAATTTACCAAGATTGTACGCAAGCAACGTCGCATTGGAGTCTGTCTAGCCACTCAGCAGATGCTTCAAAACGACTCAGTATGCCCCGAAGGCTCTACAACCGGCCAGTTCTACATGCAACCAGACTTATCTACTCTTTCCCACAATGTAGGGCTGGACTCCAAAAGTGCAACCGTTATGAGCTGGTGGTTTACAGAGGAAGGCACACCCCTTCTGGGATGCCCTCGAAGCCTTCTACGAAATTTGACTGCCCAGCTGCAGACTGAACACGAGATTCAAGTCCTTTGCGGCTTTGAGATCGAAGTTGTGTTTATGAAATGCATTACAAACCCCGATACCAACGAGGAAGAATTCGTTCCGTGCGTCAAAAATCACTCTTGGTCCCAAATGACCAGGGAGACCAGGCGTATGGTACCTTTACTCGAAGAGATTGCCGAGACTCTGGCGTCTATCGGCATCGACCTCCAACAATTCCACGCCGAATCCGCTCCTGGTCAATTTGAATTTGTCCTTCCGCCTGGGTCACCTGTGGCGGCGGTTGATACCCTCCTCAAAGCACGACAGGTAGTAACCCAGGTCGCTGAACAACATGGCCTGCGCGCGACGTTGCATCCCCGTCCTTATCCTCATGCTGCTGGCACAGCTTCTCACGCGCACCTTTCTATCACCCCATCTACGAAGGAGGATAGCTTTCTTGCCGGTATTCTCCAGCACTACCCAGCCTTGATGGCCGTTGCTCTTGCTGGAGAGGTTAGTTATGATCGGGTCTGCTCTGGACTATGGGCTGGAAGCGAGTGGGTTACCTGGGGTACCCAGAACCGCGAATCGCCGATCCGAAAAATCTCCGCGGGGCACTGGGAGATTAAGACCTTGGACGGACTCGCAAATATGTATATAGCCATGTCGGCATTTTTGGCAGCGGGTTACCTTGGCGTGAAGAACAATGAACCATTGACGGCTTCTGATTGTCCATGTGAGTATCTCCAGTTGTGGTTTCATATGCGAGAATCTGCCTTCGCGTTTCACTCTTGCTGACTAAGGACAGACGACGCTGCAACCTTGGATGAAGCGGGCCGTCAATCTTATGGTATCACTACCCAACTGCCAAAGTCGCTTTCTCAAAGTCTTGATCATCTAGAAGCGGACACTGCTCTGCAGGACATACTTGGAGCAACCCTCGTTGAGAACTACCTTCTCGTCAAACGCGCAGAGAAAAAGAAGTTGGATTCGATGGACGAAGATACACGGAGACAGTGGCTGTTGGAGCGATATTGATCCGAGCGGAGTGCATATATAATCACATAGCGAAATGATTTTCTTGACACGGCCAATATGGATACTCTTTTGGGAGTAACGTCCGTTCCAGCTGGTAACTACACAAATGTGTCTGTTAGTAGACCTAAATGTCGAATGAACAATGTTGATTCCTGGGGTTCGCAATTCGAGTTGCGGGCATCTTCTAGATGGGCCATCCCAGCATTGCCTATTACATTACTTGTAGACGGATTAAAAGGCGGCAGAGTTATTACTTTGTTATAAACAAAAGGTTAACAATACTTATGGCATCGCAGGATTAGTTGGATAATGTAGTTGGATAATGTAGTTGAATAATGTAGTTGACTAATTAGTATACTGCTCAGAAGACACCTGAGAATCATGACCTCGTATAGGGCTCAGCGCTTGCGCGCCGCGCACCAAAAAAGTAAACAAAGATTGATATACACTCAGACAGTAGACAGGGGTATCGAACAGTTTTCATCATCGGACATTGTTAGTCAGCCGTAAGCTCATCTCGAAGGCATTCCCATCAGCTCTCCGAGTTCATCACTGGTAAGTGTACTTCTGCGCCGGTCACGCTGCGCTTTGCTAGAACCCTTGAGATTCCGTCCTCGTTTGCGGCTCTCGTTCTCTTTGCGTGTTTGCTCGGCAGCTCGAGCTTCGTTCTCTACTGCGGCTAGCTTTTGTGGCACACTCATTCGCGATGGATTGGAGCTCTGATTTTGTGTTAGATTGACCTTCATAATCGCAAGTGATAGTCCAACTTACGTCAAGAGAAGCAGCTTTAGCTTCGGTCATCTTCTTGGCTGTCCTGCGCGTCACCATCTCAGAGCGGTGAGCTTTTACCGGTACGGTTTCATCTTCGCCGGGCGAGACGGTGTTGGGTGAGTTCTGAAGCCCGGGCGTAAATGAAACCTTTCGAGGCGATCGTCCTGTTATGATATTGTCGCTTTTCTCCTTCAAAGCTTTATTGTTTTTCTTCACTTTGATTTCGCCTGACGGTGGCTTAATCTTTCGATCAGACAGGGCGCGATTGGTCTTGCTGGAGGCGGTTTGTACTTTTTTCTCCTCTTTTTCTTCTTGCTTAGCAGGTCGATCCTCAAGAACAGGCGACTGCATGGCTGCTTCCTGATCATCATCATTTTCTGCTTGTCTCTGAGTTGCATCCAAGCGGAAATTGAGACTCATTCCGCGACGGAGCTCTTCCGCCTGCACCGAGTGTCCTCCATCAGCAATGCGCTTGTGCCAACCATCCATCATTGTCAGCGCCTGACTCCATCTGCCCTCCATCTTTTCCCAGCCTTCGCGGAGACGTTTGATTTCTTCGTCGCGTACTTCGACCTCCTCAAGCGGTACGAATGAAGGATTGGTGAGCAACGTTCGGAGATGATCGAGTACACGATCCATCTGGGCGGATAGCTCGTCGCACGAGGCCGGAAGGCTAGTGACTGAGCCATGGGACAATCTGGGAGCCCCCAGGCTCACCATGCCCGTGAGACAAGCTTCCTCGTCCTCTGTAGATGACAAGCCCTGCAAGTCTTTGAGAGTCTCGACTGTGTTTCGGGCTAGGTTGATAAGGGTGTCATTCTCGTCGCTCAAATTCTGGCAGAGTTCAGTCAAGAAGTCGTTCGTTTCTTGCTTCAGGCTATAACCGGGATCGCTGAGACCTTCCCCACCCGCGATAGATCTTGGTCGCGGACGCTGGCCGGTAGCTGGGTTGATATTGATGGTTGTGACCGTCAGTCCATCCCTCCTTCCTCGTTGTCGTTCTGCCAGGTGCATCTTGAGCTTCTGCATCTCCGAGTCGCGCTTGCGTATGTCATTGGCGCATTGAGCTCTGACTTGCTGGATCGTGGCTCTCATCCGTTGTACTTGTTCCTTTAGTCCTCGGATCGTCGCCTCAGCCCCTGAAATGGTGGCCTTCAAGGACCGTTCCTGCGCTTCAGCCAAAGCCAACGATCGGGTGAGTTCGGATGCCTTCGCCTTGAACTTGTCCTGTTTCGAGTCGTCAGCATCAAGCACATCCGGGGGGACCGCTGAGCGTATGTCCCGTACCAGTTCCGCAGTTCTTTGAGACTCCTCCGCTCGCAGAGTCCTGATCGTAGTTGCGAGACTCTCGCGGTGTTCGGCTTCGCGCTGCAGGACTGTCAGCCAGTTGCCGCTCGGGGAGAGCCAGTCCAATCACATACATCTCTGCGCAGGACCAAGTCATTGACCAAATTGATGATCCTGCCCATGGTGGTTGCTGAGCCTCCATCTTCATCCTCGGGATTGGCGAATTCGATGGGGCGGCCGCTTTTCAACAGACCCCTGGCCAATAGTACATTGTTGATGTAGGTGGATGCAGCCTGCAGATTCTGTGGCTCCATGGCTTGCCAGCAAGCTTAGTGGCACGCAAGTGCCTATGCAGGAAAAAACTGCTATGGATGAAGCGGAATCGATTCGTCGTCTCTTCTTTTACCCGACTGTTATTTTTCTGTCGCGGACGGAAGCCCCCCAAAACAGGAAGAATGTAAACACCGCCCACCGCCCACCGCCCATCGGCCCACCGCCCCGGTTTGGCCTCTCCGGCCGGTATTATCGACCATTCCGGCAGTACCGCTTACCTCAGCCACTTTAACGTTATCGGGGGTTTCGTTATCCACTTTCCTTATCGCGCGCGTTGTCCACGCGTTTTCTCACTTTTCCCCAATTCGGCTTCCACTCTCCTATGTTGTCTCGAACGCCTGGCCATTATGGCACCGGTCATTCGCAGCGAGGGGGACTCCCTGCAGCAGCGAGGTCAGTTGCTCTTCAAGCAGGGTAACTATCAAGGTGCTCTGGATGCGTTCACCGAGGTACTTGCTTGCCCTCCGCGGCTGATAAGGTCAGGCAACTGACTGATACGACTCCATAGGCTCTCTCTTGTAAGAAGGCCGATGTGATGAGCATACTTGATAATCGAGCAGCTACATACATCAAGCTGGCCCAGTATGATCGAGCTCTGACCGATTCTCGAAACATGGTTCGGAAGGACACCAAGGACGGACGGGTATGCTCTGCCTCGTATCGCATTGAAATTGCTGCCACAAAATGCTAAGTCTGAGCTTCTGAAGGGTATCTTACGCTATGGGCAAGTCTTACTCTTGACTGGCGATCGCGCCAAGGCCTTGAAAGCATACGGTTACGGGCTGAAGTCACTGGGCAGTGATAACCCGCGTCGCAAGGTACGTCAGTATTCTGCCGTAGAAAGTAGTCTGCCTCTGGAATGATGTGTACTGAAATGATTTAGCTTGTTCTCCAAATGTACTGCAAAGTGCGTGATGCGGCTTCAGTTAAACGCCTTGACCCTTTCAGTGTCTTGCCGCTTGAGGTAGCCATGATGGTCCTTCGACACCTGACTTTTCGGGAAATTGTGTAAGTGCAGTCCAACTGTGCATTTGTCATCGTTATCACTGACAGTCAATGCTTTAAGGACTTTTACTCGCGTGTCCAAGGGATGGCAGCAGTTTCTGTCAATGCGAGATCTGTGGATGCGTCTTGATCTTAGCGAAGCCCGTCGCAAAGTGTCATCGCGCTCCATCCGAACATACATTCAGCGTTCGCGTGCCATGCTTACCCATGCAATGGTGACCAACATAGCGAATACTTCTCATGAAAAAGTGCTTGAATATTTCAGTAGATGCCCAAAGCTGGAGAGTCTGGAAATTGGCGATCCTATCCAGCGCCATGACGGGCTATACGACCAGTTTAAGAGCTGCAAACAAATGAAGAGTCTCGTCATCGCTAAAGGTACACCGGTATCACAAGAGAACATCGCCAAGTTCTTGACGAGCCTCACCAATCTCGAGCACCTAGAGATTCATAATGCGCAGCCTTCACCTGAGACCAAAGTCCGCTGGCCCTCACATCTCCCAAACCTACGGAGCATTACCCTCTCTACTGAAGAAGCAGCTGTGCCACCACCAGGTCGCGTAGCCGCTCTCTATCTCCCGGCTGCAACGGTATGTATTGCGCAGTCGCATAGTTCCTGCCTATTAAGTTTCTAGCATTGAACCAGGCTAACACTGACAGGCGTCGCAATCCTGCATAATGCCTAACCTCGAAGAACTCCGAATCGACTCGTACCCCAGAATCTGGTCACCATACACGCTATCATTCGACCCCAACCAATTCCCAAAACTACGAAAATTAGAACTCAAAGGCGTCTTCATCGGAAACTTCGCATTACCTCCTACCCTCGAGCACCTCAGCATCCACGCGGGAACCTGCCCAGTTGGCCAAGAGTTTCCTTTCCCCTTCGAACAGTCTCCACACCTCCGCCACCTGCACACCCTCATCCTCCGCGACCTCAACTGGGTCACTCACGACACACTCCACAACTTCTTCGTCACAGCCGAGGCGCCAATCCGGAAGCTCGTCGTGGCCAGTTGCTCGAAGCTCGATCATTCGCAGCTCGAGCGCATCCTCACTGAACACCCCATGGACCTGACCGAGCTCGGGATTTGTGCTCTGCGCGGCGTCACTGACATGAGCGTAAGGGCGCTGGTCCGGCATCTGCCACACCTGTACGCTTTGGACGTCTCGGCTACCGATGTCACCGGGCGTCTAGTCAGGACATTCGCTGATGCGCCGTCGTCCTCCGACGATTTGCCGCGACTGAAATACCTCAATGTTGCGCATTGCGAACATGTCTTGTATGAAGCAGTTGCGTATGGTCGCTCGCGCAATATCAATGTCATTACGCGCTGAGCCAGTTATGAAGATCAAATGCCAGACAAGAACTTCTGGCTCAGTTCCTTGACCTCGACAAACGTCCGTCCTTCTACTGTAACGACTTGTCTTCTGCTATTGGTCGTCAGCTTGGCTTGTGTGGCTCTCTTGGTCAACAGATTCACCAAACATTATTTGAGTTGGACAAAAGACGTACTGCCTAGAGCTTCTTTCACAATAACTCGATCAGCACCCGCACAATAGCCAGGAGCACAATACACCACTATCACTGCCTCACCAAATCACCGGGAACGTGGATAGCTCAGAAAGATTTGGAAAACAATCCTGAATCTCCAGCGGCCACGATCCCAATTCCAAGCAAATGCTACCATCTTTGTGATTGTGTCTAATGAAGACTATTCTAAGTCAACCTCAATTGTTGTTTGAGTTCGCCTCCCAGAAAGGAAACTAATCAAAATCATCTACACACCACAGCCAAATGAAATCTATGCCAAAGAACTCGATGAGTTCACGTATATCCTGTAGATCTCTATGCACTTCTAGAGCTATGAATTCCCCTCGAACCTAAACCCTAATCTTTTAAGCATCCCACCAACCCTCCAGATATGTCCGCAAGTCAATCGTATCCGGCCTATTCAGATGCGGCGTCAAGTCGGCCCCCGTCTCGAGTTCCCTCTGCGTCCAACCATTCCCAAAGTACGCGAACCGATTCCCACTCGGATTGGTATAGGTGTACTCCCAATCCTCCCACCGAGGATCCCGCCGCAGGTAGTTCAGATGCGACGCGCTGCCGGGAAACAGGCCATGGATGCGGCCCCCGGGCCTCCCGCCGTTATACCACGAGCGACAGTTCTTCTGCCCGGGGGTCGAGTCGTCGTTGCCTGTCCACACCGTGCGCGGGTAGAAGGTATCGCAGTACTCGACAAAGTCGTCCGTCGCCGCCTTGGACGGCGCCAGGGCCTTGATGCCCTGCGCGTGGAGCTTACGCAGCAGCTTGGCGATGTACGTGATCTGGTTCTCCAGGCAGTTCGGCACACTGCCCCCCTGGCCGGTGGAATGGGGCCCGCCGATCCACAGCAGGTTCGGGAACCCCGGGGTGGCCATGCCGAGGTAGTTGTAGGGGAAGCCGTACAGGCCGTCGTGCGTCCACGCTTCCTTCAGGTCGACGCCGTTGGCGATGATCGAGAACGGGGGCGCGTGGTCCACGTTCGCACCCGTCGCGCAGATGACGATGTCCACGGGCCGCTCGACCCCGTCGGTGGTGACGATCCCCGTCGGCGTGAACCGCTGGATGGGCGTCTGGATGTAGCTGACGTTCTCTTGGCCCAGGGCCTCGAGGTAGCCTGGTCCCGGCGTGGGGCGCCGGCAGTTGGGCGGGAAATCGGGGATGATCTTGTCGGCCAGGTTGGAGTCCTTCCCGATGCGCGAGAGCATCAACCTGGTCCATTTCTCGCGGAGCTCCTGGTTTTCGGGGGTGTTCTTGAACACTGCGCCGAAGCGGGAGAAGTAGCCTTCTTCCACGCTCTTGCGGTATCGGAGATAGGTGTCTGGGTCCTTGAACGATTCCAGCTGTTCTTCGGAGAAGAGGTTGGGTTCGAGGCGACGAACCCCTGTCGTGCCGAAGGAGTCGGCGACCCATGTGCGATTGCGCGCATAGTGGTCTACATGTTGTGCGATGGGTTGGATGGAGGGTAGGACTTGCAGGCCTGAGGCTCCGTTTCCGATCAGAGCAACTCGCTTTCCCTGTAGATCAACCTCGTGGTTCCAGTTTGAGGAGTGGAAGAGGGTGCCTTCGTATGAGTCGATGCCCTCGTAGTCGGGCAGCTTCCACGCGTTGAAGTGGCCGATGGCGTTGATCAGCACGTCGAGCTCTTCTTCGTAGCGCTACCAGCGGCATTAGAATCTGCTTTTTCGCGATGGAAAGTTGCTGGAGCATACCCCAGGTGTCTGCTGGTCCTTGAGATCTTGAATCGTCACCAGCCATTTCCCCTTCTCGGGCTGCCAGACCGCACGCTCGATCTTCTGTTGCAGACGCAGATACTTGTAGACATCATATTTTCTCGCGAGCCCTTGCCAATACGATCTGATCTCCGCTCCTTGTGCAAACTCCTCCGTCCATTGTGTGTTCGGAGAAAAGCCGGACTGATATACGTGCGCGGGAATATCGCAACGAACCCCGGGATATGTATTCTCGAACCTAATCTATTAGCAACAGATATCGAGAAGTAGTGACCTTTGGGAAAGCCTACCATGTACCTCCCTGTTGACCGATGGCGTTATTAAACTTTCCGGATTCGTTGGTAGGAAAGGCGACTTACCACATCGGCATTCTTCTCATAGATCCTCAAATCGACTCCGGGGACCTTTGCTGGAAAAAGAATCCCTGCTGTGACTCCAGCCAGACCAGCGCCAACTACGCCGACCTTGATCGGTCGGACTTGGTCGATTGGATGCTCTTCTATCTCGAAAGCTGGGCGTTGGAGATCGTCGGACTTGGTGGTTTCGACAGCTTGGGTGACAGCTTCCTTCGCTGGCAGAGCGCCATTCTGGCCATTCAATATCGGTAGTTCCGTATGAACGGCTTGTGGACCTTTGACTGCTGCCATAGTTCTATAGGTTCTCAAGGTGCAAGTGGCAGTTGGGGGGCTTTACTGTGGTCGACCCCTCCATTGATATAATGATCTCGTGGAGCAGGAGGGGAAGGAGGAGGGGTAAAGCCGGCGGTGGACCATGGATACCGCCGCGGCTACCTCAATCTGCACGCCATTCGCACCATTTCTGAGGTCACGTAGATTACCTGCAGGCCGGCCATTCAACTTCAATACTGTCCCGGGATCGCATCATCGCAGATAGTGATGGTGTGATGTCGAGACCGATGCGGCGACAGACTTGATAATTAGAAGAGCGCAAGAACACGGGTAGGCATTGGCATTTCAGTCAGATGTAGAATCGAAGCACACCTTCTGGGAGACCATGTACTGTTCTTGGAAGAGATAAAAAACTAGGATCGATGTCGGCGTCGATGTATACAAGGGAAAGGAGTGTTGCAAACGCTGCAAACCCCCAAGTACCGCGGCCCCCAAAAGTAGCAGCACCAGGCAGCAAGGCATTAATCGCGTTTCTTTCTCTAACTAATTAATATATACAAATTCATACATTTCAGACCACAAGATCGACCACCTCCCCAGAATTGAGCTGCACACTAATTAGCCCCACGGCGGGTTTTCCTCTTCTTAGTGGTCTGAGCCTTATCAGCCACCTGCTCCGGATCCACAGCACGTGCTTTGCGCGCACCCCGTTTGGTGCCCGCTTCTTTGGCAGACGAGAGCTGGTTCTCGGGCGAGACATCAGCAGTGGGAGCAGCCTCCCCGTCCGAGGGGTGGGGTGCTGCTGCAGTCCCAGCCTGCTGTTGAAGACGACGAAAAGCCTTCTCCATTCGACTCTGGCCGCCGGTACGGACACGAGGAGCGAATGCGCCCGCACCCTGGGGTCCTGTCAAGAAATTGGTGATATTTGACTGAGTGCCTTCTTGCTCTCTGCGGTTCATGTCACGGATAACAGGCACAAGAATCTCGTCGGTCCGCTCTTGGCCCCAGCCAACCGTCGACATCAAAAAGTTGCGTAGACCATGCAGGTCAGGCACGCCCCATTGGAAAGGCGAAGGGTCGGAGTCCACCTCAGGCTCGAGATAAGCAATGTCCACCCGGTGATCAGGGAAGGATGGCGGCAAGAATATCTTTGAAGCTTGCTTCTTGAACCGTTTGTAAAAGGCAGCATGCTCGCTGTCACTCATACTGACCCCTGTCTGCACTCGTGTCCACCATTCGTTGAACTCTTCCAAGTCGGCAAATTCTGTAAGAATTTCCAATGCAGTCACAGGGCCAATCCCGGGAATACCTTCCGTATAATCGCTGCCCAATAGATGGGCAAGTCTAATCAGCTTGGTGCGATGGAGGGCGTATTCCTTCTCCAGGTCGGAAGACAAGTAGCATTCAACGAACTTGCCCTGGTTGAACATATTCTTGTATATCCGTGTGCCGCCAAAGAGGAAGCAATCGCTATCATCAGTGATTATGCCGTCAACGAGCCCTAAAGAAACCAATTCCGCACACTGGGCCTCAGCTTCCATGGGCGCGGTAATGTACGGCAAGCCAAAGAGCGACAGCAGCTGCTGGCACTCCGTGATCATGACTTGCGACACCTCATCGGCATCTCGGCGATCCTTCTTCTGCTGAAACCGCAATTGCTTAAGCTCCTGCTCATAGTCGAATGCACTAGCGGTGTTCGTCTCAGAGTTGAGGGCGGCAGCAAATCGGACATGTTCTTCACCTTCAGCTGCAAGCTGCTGCATTAAATCCTCGTCTTCAGGATCAGAATAGTCTTCCTGCTCGATGCTGTCTCCAGTGTCAACAAGCTCAAAAACTGGTGCATCTTCTGCGACAAACTTGGTGTTATCTGCTATGCCTCCAGTTGTTGTCACAACGTTCTCGAAATAATCTTGCGCTCCAGGCATAGCATCGTCAGGCCTGCCAATATGCGGTATGGCGACATCCTCGAACTCAGGAGTGGGGGACGATTCGGACCGTGCAATGTCGTAGTCTTCAGTAGTGTTGGCTATGTCGCCATTGGATAAAGTTGGTTCAAGTTCATTGACCGGTTCAGACTCCTTTGGAATGTCATTAGAGTATGTCTCGGGTGGAGAATGTTCACTAGACTTTTCAGAGACGGGTACCTCCACAGTAGTTAGTGTGGTGTGTATCGTCGGAGCATTAGTCGGAGTAGGTAAGCTCTCTTCTTCCCCTTCAGACTCGGAATCAACATTGATGACCTCTTTCCTACCCGCGGGTTCACGCCGAGCGTATTTGTGATTTGCTGCCTCATCCCGTACGAAAAGTGTGTCCGAGTCGTGCTTCTCACCACGAGTTTCCCTAGCTGGTCGAGATTCAACCTCGTCGGCGATGAACTTGGCATTATGAGTATCACGGGATGCCGCTGAGAACCACGGGGGCAGAGGCAAAGCCTCCTTCTTGGGCTTTGTCGCTTCCCCTTCATCCTTAGCTTGGTCTTTCTCGGTTTCCTCCTCTTTTCGTGGCTCATTGACCTTGCTCGGCTTCATGAGCTGCATTGACTCAAAAGGCAAAGGACCGTCAAATGGATTGTCCACACGAGTAGTAGGGGCGGTCTTTTGTGTCCTCTTAGACTGAGCTAGAGCAGCCGCAAAGTCAAAGTCATCTTCACTTTCATCCGTGAGATCCGCGGGCTCATCCCTTGGCTGGGGTAAGGAAGCTTCGCTTCGATTCAATTGAATTTCTGGCATGTCTTTGTCGTCTTGGCCGTGGGCCGGGGTTTCCAGAGACATTTGTATAGCGCGCTGGAGCTCCTCGTCATTATCTTCAAGATCGTCAAACATATCGTCGCCGTTAGTGAGATCATTACTTGGGAAGCTCGTACGTGGGTCGTTGCGAACGAATAAAGAGTCATCGTCCACAATATCCGAGGGCTTTCTGCCCTCCACATCACCACGCATCTGGTTCATGATCGATTCGTCGAAAGCGCCTTCTCGCAGGAAAGGAAGCTTAGGGAGTCGGTTGAGGCCCTCGATTGGGACATCTTCAAAGCCGCCATCGCTGTCATCTGAAAACTCCTCCTTCGGAGCTACCACCTGATGCTGGCCGTACTCGTCAACATCGATTGGCCTGTCCTCCTGGCCTTCCTTATTCCCCACCACACCTAACACCCAGCCCCCCTCGATGGTATTGTCCTTGACTAGGACATATTCCTTTCCTCTTTCACCAGCTATTCTCTGCCCTGATTTGTAAAATGCCTCCTCCCCATTCATGCCGTTGATATTCATTAAGCGTTGCGTAAGATCGTTTCGTTCCTTGACACGCTCGATCTGAAACTTCGAAAAGGCCATACGGTCAGGAAACATGGTGTCTAGTTGCTCCTTCGAGTACCCCATACGCAGGCGACTTCTGAGTCGGGCCGCATTAAGGATATTGTACCGATCCGTAGCCGGGAGGCTGACGAAGAATGGACTATCGAAGTCTATCTTGGAGAAGTCATATAGATTGATATCCTCACCCTGGTGGAATTGCCGGGCATACTCCTCGAGTTCTTCTCGAGACATGATGCGGGGATCGTTGGGCGCTCCCATCTCCGCGAGGGAGACTTGCAAGTCGGGTAAATGGTAGGCATCCTTCTTCCTGAAGGAGCGCGTCTGGTTCTTTTCCTTTTCTGTCATAAAGGCATCGTCAACATACACAGGGTTATCTGGCACTGCCTCCTCCCGGTCCGCGACTCGTTTCTGGCGGCTCGCTGCTGCCGCTTCTTCGGCCGATCTCTGCAACTGCACTGCCAGCAGTTTCCCTGCCGTTCGGACTGCATCTTCGCGGCGGCCCTCCCGGCGTTTCTTCCGATTGTTGATGGTCTGTCGCTTGAGGATTGGAGCGCCGCCGTCGAAGACGAACACCGGTTTGATCCCGAAGTACAGCAACTTGCATATCCGGCGGAAGAAGCCAACGATATGCGAGTTGCGCAGAGCGTTTCCCTCCTTGTCGCGGACGGCCTTCAAGAACTGGTAGATCCAGATAGATGCATCCACTGCAAGACGCTTCTTGTTGAGCGTTTCTAACTTGATGGGCCTTGCGCAAGGCTGCACGACTGTCCACAGTCCATGAACACCCATGCTGCCGGGTCGATTCCCGGATTAAAGCGAGGGTCAACCGCAACGACTGAGCATTTGGACGGCACGAGAGCAATTCAAACTGAATCCGGCCGCGAGACCGACCTTACCGACCAGATTGAATCACCGTAAGGTATTTGACAAGAAAAGAGGGATGCTTCACGCGAGAGGGTCCCCCGCGACGCCACCCTCGCAGGCAGACAGCGCGCGCGATCACGTGGGCTTAATTACTTCCAATGACGGCATCGATCATGTGACCGACTAGTGTGGCCCATGTCAGTCACGTGACTATCTGGAACGGGCTACTGCGTTGATGCCTTGGTGCCTGTCAAACTCGGCATTTACAGCCGGACGTCGTGTTCCCCTCCGTTCCCTTTGTTCATCTTCCCTCTTGCATTCTCGGGGCTATTGTTCGCCTATTTACTCTACCCCCAGACGAACAGTCTGTGCAATTGAGGACTGTCCGGACTCAATTTCTCATGTGGACTTGTTGACATCGTGGTTGATCCGGGTTCCATCTTCAATCAAACTTTCCTCATTCCGATCCGAGCACTGATCGGGTTTATTATGGCCCCCATCAACTTGCTCACTCGTCTCCGGACGCTTTACTCCAAGGATTACGGTAGGCTCTTTACATTATCGCTTCTCGGACTGAGTGCTAACACCTTATGCAGATGAACCAGCTATTTCAACGGCAGCAGCAGCTTTCTTCTCGGTAAGCGATCCAGACAGCTCTTTGAAGTAGATAGCGATGAGATCGCAAGGTCAACTTTGACTAAGATGCGGATTTCAGGTCTTCCTGACTCTTCTTTACGTGATTCCATTCTACGTGAATATCACCACCCGGCCGTCCCCCACTCTGAGTCGCGATGCACCGTCAGTGATCCGGGCGAGAATCCGCAGCGTGACTCTCTCATGCATCGCGAGCACTCTCATCGTCGCCTGGCTGATCATCGGCAAAGACGACGGGTCTCTGACGGAGGCCCTCAAACTCCTGGGGTGGTGGCCCGTCAGCTTTGGCGACATCTTCCGCAGCCTGCTGCTGACAGCCATCCTCTTCGCGGGGCCTTTGTTCGAAAGAGGCATCGCCGAGGGGGAATGGCGGGACTGGATCCAGGGTAGCCGGATCAGCGCTTCCCTGCGCAGCTGGATCGGCTGGAGAAACTACGTGGCGGTAGGTTTGAGCTCTCATTCGAAACACCCAACAGCGTGACTAATCATTGAAAAACAAAAACAAAAATCACAGGGTCCAATCACCGAGGAAATCATGTTCCGCTCAGCGATTGTCCCGCTGCATCTGCTGGCCAAGGTGTCTTCGGGCCACATTGTCTTCGTAGCACCCTTGTACTTTGGTATTGCGCACGTGCACCACTTCTACGAGTTCCGCCTCACGCATCCCGACACCTCGGTGGTCGCAGCGTTACTGCGCTCCATTTTCCAGTTCGGCTACACCACCATCTTCGGATGGTATGCCACTTTCCTCTACCTGCGCACCGGTTCGCTCCCGGCAGTCATTCTCGCGCATACCTTCTGCAACTGGTGCGGACTGCCCCGGTTGTGGGGGCGGGTCGAGGCAGGCGTACCCATCGGGCCCCCATTGGCCAAGGGGAAGAGTGGCAGCTCGGATGAGACGGGATATGGGCAGTTGGGCATGGGCTGGACGGTTGCCTACTATGTCCTGCTCGTCGGGGGCGCGCTGGGGTTCTACTATGCACTGTGGCCTTTGTCGGAGTCCTTGAATGCTCTGGCCTCTTTCTCAAGTCCGCATAAAAGGGCATAATCAATGGTAGGGAAGGTTGTGAAGCATCAGCACTGATGGATGCGTCTGGATTTAATGGACGAGGACGAGCCATGTTTTATACATATATAATATATTTTAATGCGACCTGAAGTAGGTAGGACATATCGTGAGGTTTAGTTTAATTATTAGGGAGATCAACACCTCTTGTTCAATAGCTCCTAATACAATGTGTTCATCTTCACAGGTTGACTTGATTCTAGATAGTTGTGTTGAAAGTACCCCTCCCTGCTTGCTGCCCAGCACACTCTGCAGAAGCAAACATTTGGATTCGAACGCGGGGTATCAGCCCAGGCCCGGCGCAGATTTCTACATGTACTGTTCAGATGTCGCGCCGGGAGGTTGAACATGTATGTGCACGTGCACTAGTTCACATAAGCAACCCTTAGTTAGTATGATATTTTGGTTACACAGAGACACGTCAAATATCCTTGGTCAGTATCGAAGCATATCGATCCCATCTGAAGTGCAATATCTGCTCAAGTATGGACTAGCTTCTGAAGTACGCAGTAGCTTCTCGAGTGGGCCTTGAACCCACTATAATCCCCTGTTGCACCAGCGTTGACGTCAAGCATTCCAAGCGACAAGATATCCAGGAAACCCACTGAACCTCCAAGCTCTAGTATGAAGTGAATCTCCTACCCGCAACAGAAATCTACGATTGACTTGATCACCTGGGCCAACAGCCATGGACAAAGGGGCACACAGTGGCAAGAAACCCACGACCCACGATCACCAACTCGAATTGACTCCAGATCGCCAACTCAATCGACCCATGAGCTAAGCTTGGGCGACGTGAGCACACCCCGTAGAAAATAGCCCCTCCATGACACCCTCCACCGAGATAGAAAACTGTACAACAACATTTATTCCACTTAACAAAACATACTAGCTACCTCCCTCGAACCTCAAAGCATCACACCCCCCACAAGAACAACAGCCCCAACCACCCCCGCCACCCCCGCACTCCGCACCCGGAATCCAGCCGCCGCATCGTTCCCCCTCACCACCCCAGTAGTGGTAGCATTCGCGGCAGCAGCCGCAGAACCCGTGGCACCGGAACGCGAAGTCAGCGCGGTCGAGGCCGAGTCGCGTGCGGAGTCGCTGGCCGAAGGGCCGGTTATCTGAGCCGCTGCAGCGTCGGTAGCAGTAGCCGACGACGACGACGACGACGACGACGAAGAAGTATCAGTAGACGCCGACGCAGAAGCAGAAGCGTACACACTTCCACCCGCACCCGCAGTAGCCGTGATTGCACTGGTCTCGCTTGTAGCTTCAGCAGCACCAGAGGTAGTCGTGGTCGTGGTCTCAATCAGGCGGCCGTTTGGACCCCAGCCGGGGAGATAATGCGTCGGCACGGGCTCTGTACCTGAGTAGAGTGGACAGCCTGGGACGGTGGTTTTGGGAGGCGCGCGACCGCCGCCGCAGTCGATGAGCTCGCAGAGTTCGCCGGTGTCGGGGATGTAGAAGATCCGGGTGAAGATGCCGCCCACGTAGGTGGTGGAGGAGGTGCAGGGGGCTCCGATATCTGTTTTGGCGGCGACGAGGGTGAGGCCTAGGAAAAAGGAGATGGTGGTGGTGAGGAGCTTCATGGCTGTTACTATGGTTTCTTGTGGGTGGCGGTGGTGGTGGTGGGAAATGAGGGACTGTGGTGAGGAATCGAACGAGGGAGGAAGGGATAGATAGGTGAGAAAGAATGGCACTCGGGAGGTGGAAACAGGAGTTGAAAGGAAATAAATAAGCGAAGTTATATACGAGTCATATACAAAGTTAGCGTTGGAGGATACGCTTGGCAGGGAGTGGATTTGCTGCTCTGACTGGTGGGACTCCCTCCACTGCGTCCCTGATTCTAGCGCCACATCCCCATTTTTTGTTCAGGGGTTCGAGACCCTCAATTTCGACAGAATCAAATCGTGCTGGCCGGACTAGATTGCAGGCCAGTGGGGCTGAGAGATGCCTGTGCTGCTGGTGGAGGCTTACTTGCGAGTGAACTTGGTGATTGATGGATGCAGGAAAGAGGAAGGCGCCTGCGGAGCACCCGGTGGATTATCTTTGCAATCAATACTAACCCTCTTCTTGATTAATTAAGGTAATAACTAGTGCTCTACTTGATTTCTTCCCCGATAAACACTTTATAGTTCTGTTTGGCTGTCTCCTCGAGCATCATTACAGGCGTGTGTTCAGCTATGTTTCCGAGTATCGTCACAAAGATCTTTGCCTGCGTTTTTGCAGGCAGCCTTGCAAAAGCCCCGTGTAGTCAAACCTTTTGGTCAGGAAATAAACCCAATGCCTGTCAATGACCGAGAATTTACATCACCCTCTCTCATCTCCCATCCTCAGTGAGAGAGAAAAGATGTCAGTGGCAGCTGATCTAGGGAGTCCGAATCTGCATCACGATTCCGGTTTTGAATTGGCCCCCTTGTCGACTCTCTTGCCTAGCACACTGTAAGATTTGATCCCACCCAGTACAATATCTCAAGGGCCTCCTGTGCAAGTTCGAAATTCTGCTCATCCCTATGCAAGGCGATGGAACATAGTCCCGCATCACGTCTCATTCGCTTGACTCAGAGATCAGACTGCGTAATTCTTCTTTCGCCACAGCATTTCGAGTGCTCTTCAGCGATCAGCAATGTTCTCTGTTGTCGTCCCCGGGACTGTAATTCCGGGCTCATCCTGATTGGTGGATTCGATACTGCGATGCCATCACCTTCTGTAGGGCGCATTGAACTGAACTCAAGCAACAACCGTACCATGGGCAGGCTCAGAAGAGAGAGAAGATGCATCGCGATGCTGCTTCTTGTTGCTTTGTCGCTTTCCTCTTGAGACGAGAGACGTAGCTAAAGATATTCGACTGATGAGAGACTTCATGATCGAAGGCAGATCTTCAGGTGTCTCTCGAGTTAGTCTCATTTTCCCAGGGACCGTATAGCCCTAGTTAGGATGATTGATCGTATGTCCATTCAAAGCTGAATATCATACTCTTCTCATAGATTCCCGTGCTCTTACCTCACGGGCGTAGACGCTCCGTGGGTCGGGTGATTCGACCTACCCCCGTTACCTTCCAGAGTGACGAGTTCAAACTATGTAGGAGAGTGTACACTCACAGATCTTTCTGTCCTGGCAAAGTTAGACATTGACTCAGCGGAAGTTTGCTCAGGGCTGCCTACCTCACACTGAAAGCATAGCTGATGCATAAAAGAACACCACCCTCGCCCACTCCTTCCTCCTTTCACCAACTTCGTGCCACGCTTCTTGCTCGTAGCTATCACTCGAACATCTCGTTGTCCACGAAAATTAGCTTCTCCTCCCAGCTGATATCCCTCCTCTCACCTTTGATAGCCATCACTTCACACAAGCTTTGTTCATCCTCCATGGCCATGCTTCCTCCTTATCACGCGGCTGATCAGCAGCAGTATGGTGGACAAGGACCATATATTTATGCTGGTCAGCAGTGTGCTGCGCCATACCATCCTGCTTTGCAGCAGCAGCAGCAGTGGCTTGCACCACCTCATATGTTTGGCCCTGCAGTGTTGCCATATGCTCAGCCGCCTATGTTTGGCGGCTATCAGCAACCCTCATTTCTGCCACCGCCACTACCTCAACAACAACAACAACAAACTGTGCTTACCGACGTGAACGCACAGTATCTTTGCCCAAGGGGAAGCGCCCTTTTGGTTGGCAAGTAAGTGCTACTACCCCGATTATCACCACCACCTCCACCTCCACCATCATCATCATCAATCCCTTCTCTTGCTGCAGCTGTCACTTCCATCTTTTTTACGGAACGAAGATTAGCCATACTAACCTCTCTCGAAATCCAGCCTGAGGAATGGGATTCCTCCAGCCAAGTTGTCCGCAGACCTCAAGGCGACGTTCAAGGGACGGTGGTCAGCCGATTGCTGGGTGAAGATCGTCCATTTCAAGATTCGCCCCAATGGCAACCCAGGTGGCCAATATATCGCATTCGTCACCTTCCAGGTAAGTTTCTGGTCCCTTCTGGAGATTCAAGTCAGCCATCGGCCTATTTTAGGTATGCATAGCAGGAGTCAGAGTCACATTACTAACCTTGGGTGGCTTGCATGCAGACCGTCCAGCAAGCACAACAGATCTTGACGGCCGTGCAGGCGAATTACCAACCGATAGTCCTGCATGGTATGGTTCTGCGGCTTGAAGAGGCCAGGGGAGAAGGTGCGTAGCTTCATTCCTTTGCTTTTCAAACAAACAACATTCCATCCCTCTGGTTTCGCTCACTGGGTCTATCTTACTTCGCTTCGATCATCTGACAAGCTCGACCCTTTCATCCGTCCATCGATGCTGATATCTGTTCTGGATTATATAGGCGTCCACCCAGAGCCCATGGTCAATGTGGGCAAAGGCCTGGCCTCCCATTAGTCAGGCATCTCACCGCCTTCGGCCGCTCTTTGATACCTAGATAGTAGTTCCTCAGATACTAGCTGAAATCCATGTGGCCGTCACCGATTCATTCACTGATAGTAGTTAACTATTGTTCCGTTCCTGCCTAGATTGTCACCTGCGTCTTTAGTGCATACTGTATAGTCTACCGTATCATGGTATATAGCCATTCCAGTCCTCATGGACTTTCTCCTCAATACAACTATCTTCCACTTCATGAAAGAACTGATCATTTATATCAATCCATTTGTCTTTTATGCTTCCTCACAATGGACCCCCAGTTAATAGACCCCCAGTCAACAGCCCTCCAGTCAATGAACCTCCAGTCAACAGTCCTCCAGTCAACAGCCCTCTAGTTAATAGCCCTCTAGTCAACAGCCCTCCAGTCAATGGACCCCCAGTCAACAGTCCTCTAATCAACAGCCCTCCAGTCAACAAGCCTCCAGTCAACAGCCCTCCAGTCAACAGCCCTCCAGTCAACAGCCCTCCAGTCAACAGCCCTCCAGTCAATGGACCTCCAGCCTATGGGCACATAGCCAACGCGCACCCAGCCAACACGCACACAGCCAACACGCACACAGCCAACACGCACACAGCCAAGGGAACCCCCAACGGGCAAGCTGTCAACGGGCATAAGGTACTAGTAGTCAATGAGAGCACAGCCAACAGGCACCCACCCAACGGACATATGGTACTGGTAGTCGATGGGAGCCGAGCCAAAGGGCGCCACCCCGTCTTCATCTGAAGAATCGGCTCAGCAGAGTGAGGCCAACCCACCTGCATCTGAATAAACGCGATCCGCTCTGTGTCGCCTCTGTCTGCTTGCCTGCCTGCACGCCATGGTGTTCCAGTGGAGTTCCTCTTTCATTCACCTTTGTTTTGTTATAGCTTTATCACTTGTATCGTCCTGCTCAACCATGTCGATGTCCATCTGGCAAGTTTTGGTGTTCAGCATGTTTGGTGAATGCCCTATTCCGGTTGGCCGGCTAGTGAATGAAGTGAGTGAGCTTGGTTGGAGCCTGTCGGCATATCTAAGTAATACGGCCACGTGGTGCAACGCGGTTATCAGGCTGCTTCTCATGTTGATAATTCAGTCAGTTCCAACCACCAAGAAAATTGAGAACACGTTCCATACACCTTACCTCTGAGGCTTCACAATCGCTGACAGAGCCTTTCCCCTCTGTGTCTACTGTAGATGTAAATGTAGTCTGATCACTCATAGAGGAGAATGAGAAGTACAAAAAATGATGAGCGTTGAGATGATATCATTTTTCTTTGTATTTTTCTCGCCAAAAGTAGAGAGGGATTTGTGGGAAAGAAAATTTAGCAAGGGCGAAGTGAGGTCAAAATTGGTCTGGATTTGGTCACACAACAGCCAGCGTTAGTCAGCGTGGCCATGTGGTTCCTACAAATATATGTATATGGTGGGTATCGATGAGGAATGTGATACAATCATTACTGCCGAGTATTACAGGCGGTTTTTTTGAGGTGATGTATGTACACAGACGCACTTATGGCACTGTACACACAAGTAGGATCTGACGTTGTGCATGATTTACTTCCGTTGCAGCAGCGCAGCCCACATCTCCATTACCGAGCATGTCTCCAGGACAAGCCGCAGTCATTGGACGGCGCCACCCATTCTCATCCTCCTCGCCTTCTCGACCAATTGCTCCAAGACCATCTGCCTTACTGAGACTGTCAACCGACACCCAGTCTGCAGCAGCCGCCTGACACCCCCCGTCCTCTCGTCTCGAGCGCCGAGGTTTCTGAAATTGATGCGCGTCAGATCGACACACATCCGCCACACGCTCTGCAAGACCTCTTCCCACGACTCCCCCGTCGCCCTCGTAGTCAACATTAGATCCCTCAGCTCCAGCATCTCCAGGCCCCGCACGGCCATCTTCCGGATACACGTCCGCAGAATCTCGGCCGTGGACTCGATCTTCCGGACGGAAAACACCCGGATCCGCGCGGAGGCCAGCCGCGCCGTCGATAGAGCCTCGAGGGTGTTCCCTGTGGGATGCTTGCGGCCTCTGCCAACGATGCGCAGTTCCTCTAGCGCCGGGGTGCCCTCCAGCAGCTCCCAGACGATCGACGTACCGCGGTATTCCCGGAAGTAGTCGTCGTGCAGGTAAAGCACGCGCAGGCCGCGCAGCACCTCGGGGTACAGCGTGGGGACGGTCCAGTTGGGGAGCTGGAGGACCTGGTACGGGGTCGTGGTGGGCTGCTCCAGGATTGGAGCGGAGCGCAACGAGGTGTGTATCTTGAGTCGCTCGAGGGGGATCCCCGCATCGTTGAAGATAGTGAACATAACGCGCACCACGTCGCCGGCGTGGATGCAGTCCACGGGCCAGTCGGCGGGCTCGTCCAGGTGGAACTCGAAGTCCCGGCACTCGGTGAACGCGGTGACGAGATCACAGCGCAGCGCCCACAATTCCGGCAGGGCAAGGGGGTCCTCGATCTCGCTGGACAGCGCCAGTCTGTTGAAGGGGGAGTTAGGCCCCGTGTACGGATACCGAATCACCAGTCTCTTGACCAGTGCCGCCAGCGGGTTGCCCCTCGGCCAGGCCAGATCGCAGTGGATGCGCAGGAGGCTGTGGTACGACAGGTTCGTCTCGACGGTCTCGAGATACCGCGCGAAGATCGCCTCCGTCATAGGCTCCACCAAGTAGTGCATTCTCCGAGAGACCTGACGGAGAGAGAGAAAGGTCGCCTCGTCCAGGTACCTCGTAATGTGCGAGAAATGCTTGGTAGGCATCGACCCGAGATTGACAGGAGACATGGCTGGCTTTTTGGAACTTGATGGGCGGGAAAGAGGCGAGGAGATAGACATAGAAGAGCTTCAGGAGGGCATAAACTAACTTGACATTCGACGCTGGGAATTGGAGATAGGCCAGGGTGCACTCACTTTAAGTACTCTGTATTTCCTCAAGAGGGTCCCTCTTGTTGTAGTTCTCTCAGCAAGATCATCTCAAATAGCTGGAGCATTCCTGCTAATATGTGATATTCTTTGTTTGTGCTGGCTGTCTCTTCGCCTGTGCCAAAGTAACCTCTCCAACTGGCTCAGATAGCTTTGAACAAAGAGCATTGTCTTCCTCTGCGGCAGCTCTAAGGGCAGATTAACTACCCGTGCTGTGAACAATCACTTGTGTCCTAAGGCTTTATTGTTGAACACGTCATGAGACAATGCATGCCACTTTCAAGCGCTCTTTTGGAACAACGAACTGCCTATCACACAGGTCAGTCAGATATCACCACCAGTCAATTAGACTATACCTGACTCCCTTGAAATTATGGATAAAGTAGACTTCGATCCTAATCTCATGTGATCCAAGGACAATAGCGATTGAACTTACTTAAATGCCAATGACTTATCTTCTCGGTCCCGTACTGAACAGCTGTACATTATGATACGCGGCCGCAGGGTCGTGCATCCGAAGCTCACATCGTGCTTATGATGCCTCCACTACTCAATATTATCGCAGATTGTCTTAATAAGTCGTGAAAATAGAATCCATATTCATCTCATCGGGTCTATAGGGTTGCCTCTACCTCATCCAGAACGGTGACCTTGATACTGCCGTTGCGCGGATCAGCACATAACTCAAGTGCCTCCACCGCTCTCTCCAATGGAAATGTATGCGACACAAGCTTTTTCAGGTCAAGGATTCCTCCACTGAGACAAGCAATAGCAGGAGGCCAGGTATCGCGATAACGATTGATGAATCGCAGATCGATCTATCCAGTCGTCATTTGTTAGCCACGGTACGAAGAAGGAAGAACTGGGCTCAGATACTGACCTCGGCTAAGGAAATATGCATGAACGGAAGATTGTTCATAACCGATTTTCCCACCCCAATGACGACCACAGCGCCGCCTCTGCGGGCTGTGAACGCCGCCGTACACACGCTGCTCTCTACTCCGGTGCATTCAAGGACCGTCTCGGGAGCATTATACTCCCTCGACCCGAACAATGCTCTGATTGCCTTGGCATTACCTTCCGCACCCAATGAGCCGTTCACCTGGTATGTAATGCAGCTGGGGACAAACTCTTTGGCGAATGCGAGTCGCTTGGGCTCGATATCCGTGATGACAATAGGATGGGCCCCAGAAGCACGAGCTGCAGCGAGCGCAATCAGCCCAATGGGACCTGCGCCACAGACAACTACTCCACGACCTAGTTGGAGACGGGCCACTTGGATCCCCCGCATGACGACGGAAAGTGGCTCTAGCAGAGCACCTTCAGCGAACGAAATGTTGTCCGGAAGTCTATATTTTGTCTTAGATACCAGCTCTCAAGAGAGTCAAGGAAAACGTACTTGTGGAGCCATTTGGCAGGATGCACTTTATAACGCTGGAGAGTCCCAGCATAAGGGTAGACACCTGCAAAGTGAACATCTTCGCAAAGGTTGTAACGACCGTCGTCGCAGAGGAAGCAATTTTCGCACGGAACGCCTGGTTCTACTGCTACTCGATCACCTAAGCAGACAATTGAATCAGGACCCCGGCTCGCTATTCATGTTATGCGACTTGCATAGGCATTGAGATTACTCACCCGGCATGAAGTCTGTGACACCCTCTCCACACTTCAAGACGACTCCCGCCGCTTCATGGCCGATCACACAGTCACCTTCAAATACCAATTCTCCGATTCGACCTGTTTTCCAGAAATGTATATCTGATCTGAATATGATCCGTCAGAGAGCACAAAAATTTCCATCAACAGCTCCATATGCGTACCCACAGATGCCGGTGGCTTTTATATGCAGGAGAACTTCGCCTCGTTGTGGGGCATAAACAGGCGCTGGGACGTATTTCAACTTGTGATCCGCAGTAACCTGAAGAGACGGATTCGGGAATGGTGGAGAGAGCAGCGCTGGACCCGCCGTCGCCGATTTAGTGCCTGGAGCAACCGAGGGCGTGGGCTGGGGAATCTGGAAAGACGGAGACATGGTGATAAGAATGATGAGGTTGTCGAGCTCACTTCAATGCGCCCTCTGAAAAGGCCCGGGGGGGTTTTATTAGACTCATCGTTGGAGAAGAAAGAGGCGGTGGCCTCCTTCAAAGCAGAAGATCAGAAAGTACAGAGTACAGCAAGGCAATCCGAGCCACAGATAACCGTGGATGTTGTGGCGGTTTGGATCAGGGAAGATCAACCCCGCAGTGCCCGCAGTACCCGCAGTGCCCGCGTCTTTAAGCGGGGGGAGGCTCGACTTTCCCCGCTGAGTCATCGGCGCTACCACCTACCCGATCGGGTAATGTGCATATAACTGCCGTAAAGGATAAGTCAGTTATCATACCTAGTGCATGGATCCATCCATCCTTCCTTCACTCATGATCTGTACTGTACAACAAGTCTGGTCATCTCCCAGTCGAGAAAGCAAAACCGCATTTCATGATTTCTTTCCCCACGCTCCCCCAGACCGTTATTAGTTATTCGAGTGTATAAAGAGCCCCCTGCCTCCCTTTGCAATGGATTTTCAACAAGAACAAACTTGTCACTATGGCTGTCGGTCTCGACCACTCACTCGTCAATGGCGCATCGGCTTTGCCGCTGGTGCGCCAGCTATCCAAGGACCATGACCAAGTCTTGAAGACCTTTCGCCTTCTCATTGCTGATTTGTGTCAGCAGTTTGGTGGAGGCCATCCTGGGTAAGATATTTGACCGTGTGAGAGAAGGTTGAGCAAAGCAGCTGACTAGAGTAGAGGTGCGATTGGCATGGCTGCCATTGGAGTTGCGCTTTGGCGATATGTCATGCGATATGCCCCCCATACTCCCGATTACTTCAACCGCGATCGTTTCGTTCTCTCCAACGGCCACACCTGCCTGTTTCAGTACACATTCTTGCACTTGACTGGATACAAGGATATGACTTTTGACCAGCTGAAGTCGTACCATTCCGACCGCGTTGATGCACTGTGCCCAGGCCACCCCGAAATTGAGCACGAAGGTATCGAGGTTACAACAGGGCCTCTGGGCCAGGGTATCGCCAATGCTGTTGGTCTCGCCATGGCTACCAAGAACCTTGCTGCCAAATTCAACCGACCTGGCTACGATGTCGTCTCGAATCATACTTGGTGCATGATTGGCGATGCGTGCCTCCAGGAGGGTGTCGGACTCGAGGCCATTTCCTTCGCTGGACACCTCAAACTCAACAACCTGACTGTCGTCTACGACAACAACCAGATCACCTGCGATGGATCCGTCGACTTGACCAACACGGAGGATGTGAATTCTAAAATGCGTGCTTGTGGTTGGAATGTGATCGATATCGAGGACGGCTGCTATGACATCGAGGGCCTCGTTCAAGCACTGGAACGTGCTCGTGCATCTCAAGAGAAGCCAACGTTCATCAACGTGCGAACAGTGATTGGTCTGGGCAGCAAGGTCGCAGGCATGGCGGCCGCCCATGGTGCGGCCTTTGGATCTCCTGACGTTGCCGATATGAAGAGGGCCTATGGATTCGACCCTGACGAGACATTTGTCATTGGTGACCAAGTCCGTACTTTCTTCCATGAACTTCCTTCTCGGGGAGAAGCATTCGTTCGAGACTGGAACTCTCTGGTCAAGCAATATAGCGCAAAGTACCCCGAGCTGGGGGCAGAGTTCCACCGCCGTATGCGCGGAGACCTTCCTTCCAATTGGAAGGACCTTATTCCTTCTGAATTTCCAGAGAAGCCCACAGCCTCGAGAGCGTCTTCTGGTTTGGTCTTCAATCCAGTTGCTAAAGAAATTGAGAACTTCATGGTCGGAACTGCTGATCTCTCCCCATCGGTGAACATGATCTGGCCAGGGAAAGTAGATTTCCAACACGTGAGTAGAATCCGTTCAAGCATATCGACCCACACTGACCATTCTTAGCCCGATTTGAAAACCACATGTGGCATCAATGGAAACTACTCCGGTCGGTATATCCACTATGGTGTTCGTGAGCATGCGATGTGTGCCATTTCCAATGGCATGGCCGCCTTTGCTCCCAACACTTTTGTCCCCATCACCTCATCATTCTTCATGTTCTACCTCTATGCTGCACCTGCCGTTCGAATGGGTGCCCTTCAGCATCTTCAGGTCATCCATGCGGCGACTCATGACTCGATCGGAATGGGTGAAGACGGCCCGACACATCAGCCCATAGAACTCGCAGCTTTGTACCGCGCTATGCCCAATCTTCTGTACATTCGCCCCGGTGACAGCGAAGAGACAGCTGGCGCATGGATTGCAGCAATTGAGGCCAAGAAGACCTCCACAATCATTTCCACTTCGCGCCATGCCATCCCGCAACTGAAGCAGACCCGTCGTGATGGTGTTGCACGCGGTGCATACGTCCTTGAAGAAGCCGAAGATGCGGCCGTGACGCTGATCGGAGTGGGAGCCGAGCTATCCTTTGCACTGGAGGTTGCTAAGCACTTGAAGGAGACTCAGGGGACTGTGGCGCGGGTCATCAGTTTTCCGTGTCAGCGACTGTTCGAGCAACAGTCTATTGAATATAAGAGGGAGGTTCTGCGTAGGCATCAAGATATCCCTGCTGTCGTGATAGAACCATACGCTCCCAATGGATGGGAGCGGTACGCCGATGCGGGAATCTCTGTTCGTCGGTTCGGCCACAGTTTGCCGGGCAAGGCTGCGTACAAGTTCTTCGGCTATGAAACCGGGGTGTTGTCGGCAAAAGTGAGCGCCTATCTTGATCGTCTGAAGAAGGGAGAAGCACTTAGAAGTGAGTTTGTTGATCTGTAAATAATGATACGATAAAGATAATCATGTGACAATGCCATTCCGCTTAATTCGTGGGATACTAATCATCATCCCTCTCCCAACTGAGAGAAATGAGAGACTTATGTGCGTTGGAGACAGGGGGAAGCTGGGTTAAATAGCCCGAGAGCTGGGCGCGGTGGTCATCTCCCTGAGAAAAACCCTCTGCAGGGTGTTGATTGGCAGTGCAAGTTGCTAAGACGGTGTGGATGTCTGAGACAAGGTAGACGATGAGCGGCCTAGACCAGTGCTAGTGATGTGAAGATGAAGCTGGAAGTATCGGGATTGGAGGCGTAGACGGCAGCCTGAGCCTGGTGCAGTGGTGAGAGGGTCTTTCCCATTTAAATACTATACCTTCCTGCAGACTTCACCACCCAGCTCAACTCCATCGATCTACTTGTCAAATCCCACAAAGAACCTCACACCACTTGTCCGCAGCATGGCGCCGATCTATATTCTCTATCTCCTGATCCTCGGATGGGCAGT